TCCATCCAGCATCATGCATACCTCTCCACTGACGCGTAACAGCACTCAGCACAACTCGTTTTTCCACAACGCTCACTTTTAATTTGCTGCCGCTCATTTTGGCCATTTAAGTCAGCCCAGCTATTTTTTCGAGCGCAAATGTGTCATATGCTGCAGGAGAGAATCTATTGGAACACCCATACATAATTTCACAAAGAAGAAGCTGGACAACAGTGGCGTTATCGATGGCCAAAAAGCGATGAAGCAACAGCTGAGCAGAGCGCCCAAGTGAGTTGAAAACCTCAGGGGAGCTGATAAATTATCAAGCACAGCACAAAAAGACCTTTATCATGCCTGCTTTGCGCAGCCAGTACATATGCTTATCACTTTCGCCATGGGAACACCCTGCGTTCTGGAAATCGGCGTCAGCAGCTAACGTACACGATGACACATCGTTTGGTAGTTTCAGTGCGCCAAGAAGACCTTCACTCTCATCAAGCATCTTCTGTCTTACTTCGCGTTTATGCAGCAGAGCTTCATCGCCAGGCTAAAATAAACCCCAGTAATGAGTGTTCGAATTCTCATGTCCTACTTTTTTTTTAAAAAAAAAGATTACCATATCTTTGGTGACTCGCCACGGTACTATACAAGACAAAAAAAAGGAGTGACTAGCGATTCAAGAGAAAAATGTGTGAATAGCAGCACCATTTGAGAAGCATTGCGCCACTCCGTGTACACATCCCACCACTTGAAATACTTCGCGGCGACACTCGCTACATCAGTCTCCAATCTCCTAAAATCCAAAACCCCACTTATGGCACATTTCCAAACCGATTTCTCATCACAACTTCCTAAAGCGTATTCTTAATAACAACGATAATCCTCGTCTACAAGCTGACTCAACGCACAAGATGTGAGACCAGCACATAGCACTCTGCTGCAGAAATGCACTTTAGATATTTGAAGATGAAATTTTCATTATTATTGCTATTCCTATGTCACATAATGATTTATTGCTTTTTGTTAAAAATTGCATAAGGAACCATTGCATCACTATGATGCAACACCTGTGGCCCCCTGTTCAATCTTTGGACACCCTACCCCAGCTAGAGTTATGCAGTCTTTGTGGTCTGTGACCACCGGAGCATAAAAGCACTCCTCCCCATCTAGAGTCGCTGTTGTTTCAGACCACACCGTTTTTGAGAGCTTTGGCTCCCCAGAGTCTCATTAGCTTTTTATTTGTTATTGCCCTCTCACATTTCAAGTATCTTGTATAACTGTAGTCCCCTGCATATAAATATATAGCTATTTCTAGGTGTTAACTAACATACACACTCCACGACACGCACACACAAGGTACGCACACTGTTCCAACCTACATAATATTAAGGTTGCGATAGTCATTATTATTATTA